GACTTCAGCTTTCCATCTCTCCCCCCCCCCTACATGCAGCCTCTGCCTAGGAAAAGTACAATCTTTCTCCTCATCAGATGGTAGAGATCAGATCCCCTTGAAAAAACGGTGGACTCTGTGTCATTATACCCTGCTGAGGTCACCACAGGAAATTGACGCTCAGTGCCCAAGGCCCAGGCACCTGCCCAGAGCCTCTTTCTAGAGCTCACTGTATTTTTTTCCACAACCTGCCTTATTCTTAGTAATAAAATAATTTTTAAAAAAGATTTGGGATACCTTGGCCTATAACTTTCTATGACTTTTACTGAAAATATTTCTTCAACCCATGATATACTGTGATGCCATTCCTGCAGGTAGACATCCCCATAGTCATGTAGACACAAAGTAGTGCCCCTCCCACCATGTATAAAGCACCTCCATCAGGAAACTGTGTGATTATAACAACTTTTAACAGTTGCAGTAACTGTTACGATGCAAACAGAGGCAAGAATTACAACTTCTAAAACAGCATTCTAAATGCACATTTTGCAGTACTTCCCCAATTAAAGTAGCCCCCACTCCAATACAATAACTAGCTGTAAGTGCAAGAAGTTCTGGGAGTTCAGACAGCCTTTACAGGATGCCACAAAGTTCCAATGTGAAGTTGAGAGCCAGCATGGTGTAGTGGTTAAGAGCGGTGGACTCTAATCTGGAGAAGTGGATTTGATTCCACACTCCAGCTGGGTGACCTTGAGCCAGTCACAGTTCTCTCAGAACTCTCTCAGCCCCACCTACCTCACAGGGTGTCTGTTGTGGGGAGAGGAAGGGAAGGTGATTGTAATTCCCTTTCACCTGTGGGAGTACTTCTGCAGCTGATGGCTGCTGACAGGCCAGTGTAGAGTTGGCGGTGAGCTTGCAAGTTTCCCCCTTATTGAAGCACTGAGACTGTAACATCAGAGCCTATACTTTGCAGCTGTTGTACCGAATAGCCCAGGACTGGCAACCAATTAAGGGCACCTCAATAAGTTTCTACTCTGTCATCATAAAAAATGTCTTAGTATTTATGCAATGTGCTCTAGAAATCTGATATAACAACTGGAAAAAGCCCATTTTTAAATGGCGTGGATTTTTATCCAAATGAGTTTTTTGAGCCAACTTCAAGATTTTTGAGCATTGGAAAAACAAGCATTTAAGGCAACTGAGTCTATCAAAAATTGAGTGTGAATAATTATATGCATGATTTGGCTCTAAAACGGTATCCACAGGTGTGCTGGAGACACATGTATCCTGCAATTCAGCCAAAGCACACTAACTAGTATTAGATCCACTTACTTGTAAAGATGGAATGTCACAAGATTTTCAAATGTGCTAAGCAAACTTTGAAATACACCCTAAATATTGGAAGTTCTAATTACTGATAACCATATTAGCTTCATTTAACCGTTTGTACTTTTCAATTTCTGTCTCAACTAATTAGGGCACATTGGAGCTTTCATTTATGAATGACTATAATTTCCCTTTTATCTCCCCAAGTACCCTCAACTTGTCATTCACTTAATAAAAACTTTTCTTTATGGCATATCTTACCCCAATACACTATAAGGATATATAAAATAAAAGTCTGTCCTGAACATTACCATTAAGATATATGATTAAATTACAATTAATGGGCATATGATAAGCACTGGAAGTAGTTTTAATGCTCATGTTTGAAAGTTACGAAAATATCATAATTAAATAAATATGCAACATAGAAAATAAATTGATTTCGTAATTGGCTTTCATTTAATCATTTTTAAAATACATAAAATATTTGGGTATTCAATCTATAGCAACTCAATACACCCTGTCTGACAGAAGGTGGAGCTCTATACTTACCTTGGCCACTTTGCTTTCTGAAACTGAATTTATAATTCAGTGTATCAAAAAGAGTATCCAAAAATCAAAATATAGCTTTGTGATATGAAACAAATAACTTGCTGCCAATTGGTTTACACAAAATCGAATCATTTAGTGCTCCTGTTAATGCCCTGGTTGACCTTTGGAATGAGGAAATGACCCAGGCAATTGACACAATTGCTTTCAGGTGCCTTCTCTCAGGTCTAAGAGCCTGGGTAGCTCATTGGTTTACTGAAGGGCTGAGGATGATGAGAAGACAAGGGAGATGGCTAGAGTGACAGTGGAGAAGGACTTGTGATGAATCTGACAAGGTGTGAGCTAGAGTTCATTTAAAGCCTACTCCATGGTAATGGCAGTGAACCAGTATTTCTCTGTCACCATTGCATCCACACAGTGTAGACCTGAGGAAATCTTTAGGGTAGTCAGGGGCCTATTGGATTCAGTCCCTCTAAGCTGTGGAGTTTTGTAAGCAAAACCTCTACTTTGTGAGCTACTGGCATTAAAATTGTGAGCAAGCAATTTGGCTACTGCATAAATTAGTTTGCTCTGGAGCCATCCTTCCTGAGCTAAGACACATATCTGTGAGCTGCCCACTAATAATTTTGTTTCACAATTTGTGGATAAAATCTGTTGCATCAGTTCCTACTTGAACTGTACATTAGCAGTGACAGGATCAGATGGTCCCAGCATGCTGACATGTCCAGTTGTGTGGGACAGCTTTTGGCTTGTTCAGTGTGAGGATGTGGACAGGATTCTTGGAAGTTTGAGACCTATTATCTATTTGTATGAACCTTGTCCCTCCTGCCTGCTTAAATCTGCCCAGGAAAAAGGCTGGCAGACTGGGTCTGGCAGACATTAAATACCTCCCTGAAAGAGAGGGTGGTTGTCCCTGCCTCAGTGTTGGACAGGTGGCAGTAGGCCTAAGGCACCTTTAATCAGCTTTGGCTGATGAGCCAGCTGTGCCCTGGTGACATCTAGATTAGATTACTGCAATATGCTCTATGTGGGGCTGCTCTTGAAGGATTGTATGGAAGCTGCAGTTGGTACAGAATGCTTTGACCAGAATGCTGATTGGAGTAGGTCATAGGATCATGTCACTCCAGTCTTGTTATATCTACACTGTCTTGCAGTTTGCTTCTGGGTGTTGGTTTGACCTTGAAAGCCATATAGAGCTTGAGGCCAGCATACCTCATGCTTACTCCCTTATTTATTTAATTAATTGTTTAGGCTTTTAGGCTGCCCTTCCCTGCAAGCAGGGCTCAGGATGGTTTACAACAGAATAAAAACACAATCATCCAAGTAGAATTAGACTAGTCTTAAAACACAGTACAGAATCATAAGTAAAAAGCAGTTCCAAGGTGGCAAACGATTTGAATAGAAAATTGAAACCCAAAGCCTCCAAGGGGGCAGGTAAGGGGGGGGCAGGAAACCTGAGAGCGTCAGACTACCTGCTTTTCCATCACTGTCCTCAACCAAAAGCCTGGTGGAACATCTGTGTCTTACAAGCCCTGTGTAAAGGTAGTAAATACTGCTGGCCCAGCCTCCCCAATGGTTTCAAACATGCTTCCCCCACTCCTATACCTGACAGGCAGCTGTCTGTCAGGTGCAGCAGTGAGTGCAGAGTGCTTAAAGCCATCAGGGAGCCTGCCTAAGCAGTAATGCCTTAGTAATCCTGCTGGCCCAGTCTCCACAATGGCTTGCAATACCCCTTTCCCTCCCCCTCCCACACTGGATAGGCAGCTGCCTGTCAGGTGTAGGAGAGGGGGTGAGATGTTTATAGGTGTTGGGGAGGCTTGCTCAGCAGAATTATCTTAGCACTGCTGCTGGCCCAGCCTCCCCGATACCTTAAACAGACTACCCCCCAACACCAGACAGGCAGGTTTCTGTCAGTTGTAGGAGCATGGCCAAGGTACTTTAATTCATCAGGGAGGTCACCTGAGCAGAAACACCTTAGCAATGCTGCTGGGCCAGCCTCCCCAGTGGCTTTAGACACACTCCCATCCACCCCTCTTCCACCTGACAGGTGGTTGCCTGTCAGGTGCAGAAGCAGGGGCAGAGTGTTGAAAACCATCAGGGAGGTTGCTCAAGCAGCATCGCCTTAGCAATCCTGGTAGCCCAGCCTCCCCGATGCCTTCAGACACGCTACCCCTCCTACACCTGACAGACAACCACCTGTCAAGGGTTGGGAGGGGCATGGAGTTCTTTAAGTTGTTGGAGAAGCATGCTCAGTAGGATTGCCTTAGTGCTGCTGCTGGCCCAGCCTCCCCAATGCGTTTAAACACAATCCTCTCCCTTGCACCAGACAGGTGGGTTTTTGTCAGATGTAGGAGCAGGGCCAGGGTACTTTAATTCATCAGGCCACCCCAGCAGGATCAACTTAGCAATGCTGCTGACCCAGCCAACCCAATGGCTTTAGCCATACTCCCATGCACTATGGAAATATACCGTAAATTGTAGAAAAGTGGTTTCCTGTATTAGGTTATTTAACTTCTCACAATGTGGGTTCTAGAAAATTGGTTCATATGAACTTGCTTAATATCTGATTGTTTGGATGTTGTTTCGAATACGTAGTTATGTCCCACTTCTTAAATGTAACATAAATGAGAAGCATTTTTGGAAAAAAGGGGGGTATGACCTACACTCCCCCCCAAAAAAATTCAATGCCCAGGCCAAACCCCTGCACCAAGAAACCCAAAATAAGGAGAGTGCATTCCTACCATGACGTCAACCCTCACTACGAAGGGATTTCTGAGAAACATGACCCCTAAGGGGGTAGAAAGGGGCAAAATGTGTTCCCCCAATTGTTTTCCATGTGCCTGGCAGGCTGCTGCCTCCTTGCCCCCCCCCCCAAATTGGTCAACTGTGTAGCTCAGAGTTCTAAGATAAAAACTGCCTGCTTGTACTACAACCTTCTCCATTAGAATTCCTACAACAAATGTTACATTTCAAACTTCACATCATCAGTTTTAAAACTTTGATTTTACAGAACTTAAATACCGTAGTGAAGCACGGGTATCAGGCTAGTAAACAAATAAAATAAAATACATTAGAAATTTAATGATTATTTTTTAAAAAGTAAAATAGGTTATGTACATTTCTTAACGATAACATTAGATACTCACAGGCATCTCTAATGTAGAGCAACATAGCTAAGAAAACGTAGTCAACTAAATCCAGGGTGATGCTGTCAGCAAACAAAGCATCCCAGATAACAAGAAGGTCCTGAAGGGGAAATTCTCGTCCAAAGAGAAGTCTTACCCATCGCCTAAGAAGAAATGCAACAAAACTGATCAAAAGGTGAACCATATGGAGTAGGAATTCATAACACACTTACTGGAAAATATAAGAAGCATTAAACTAATTAGAGATTTTTTTACTAATATGCTTAATTTGAGCAAGTGCTATATTATGTCTTAACTTGGTTATAGAAGGGATTGTGTTAAGTTTTCTAAAAGCCTCAGTTTTTGAATGATATTAAAGCAGTCATACTTTATTGGAAAAGTGTTATGCCAGTTTAAAAATCATTTCCCTCATACGAATCTAAAGAAATGGCTTCAAAAACAGGTCTAAAGTTCCACAAATGGACTTCAAAAGCCATAACTTGCTCATGGCAGGTTTTGTGGGGTTTACTAAATATAGTAGAGAGCTGAAGGTTGAATGTATTAATGCAAATTTGTGTGTTATCTGAAGTTTAGATGTACCTTATTTACTGCCTGGTTCAATGGTTGTTTACATTGTTTATATTGTTATTTGTATTTGTTTAAGTCTTTCAATAAAAATTTGAAAAAGTTAAAAAAAGTCATAGTACAGTTCAATGGAATAAATAGGCTTTTAGGGACAATGCTTTGCTTTTACTTTTGAACAGCTTCTACATCTGTACCTAGCATTAGTTTGTATGAATTCAAACTAGTTGGATACATTAGCTCAAACTAGTAGACAAATTTTACTTTAAGGATTTAAATTATAATTTCATTCTGGTTAAACTACTCAAGATGCAAGATGAAGTGACTTTTTTCAATATTACCTCATCCTGCTATTGGCATGTTGAACATACTTGGAAATACAGGAACACTTTTATGAATCTTACATTGAAAAAGGAATATGTGTCTTGAACATATATTCTCACTATTCCTTCAGTTCCTTATGAATACCTCATTATGGAACTTGAGGAGAATCCTTACAACAGAAAATGTGGGGAAATTCAAGCAAAGCTAATCTTGCATGGTTAATTTTGACAACACTCCATGCAAGGTGTTTTACCCAATTGTGGAAAATTACCCCTCAGTGACTAGCCTACAGCAAACGATTACTGTTCAGTGTCACAAACATTACTTAGACTCTGCAGGGAGCCCATCACTTTTAGTAGCAGTTGTTCCCACCCTTAAACCTACCCACCTTTCACACTTCACAAGCAGGTTAGGAGCCAAAGCTCAGCTGTACTGCAAGTGTTTGAGCTAACTTGGCTCATCACTACCTGATATGATTCAGGAGGATGGGTAAAACTAATACTTTTTAAAGGGAAAAAGCAACATAGCATAACAGGATTTGTTATTAGTCTTTTATCAGAAACCTCCTTTCCTTCTTTACCACTTAATTATGCAGCGTTAATCGTTGTAGATGTAAGTTTATTCTACTCAAACCAAAGTCATTCCTTTCCCCCCTGCTTTTAGATTTTCTCTTGGGAATATTAACTCTTAGTCCCTAGAGGTATTCTGTTTCACAGATGCAGAGAGCTGAAGAACTGGACTGCTTTAGTAACCATAATGCTATCATTAATGATCTGAACCTCTCTGACTCAATGGGTGTAAGCAATTCACACAATTGTAAATGGATATATACTAAGTGCTATCTGTTCTTTTTCAGCAACATTCTCCTTTTAGCATCCATAAACCAAGGACCCTATTGTCTCTGAACTATGTTACCATATGGCTTGACTTCAGTGAGCTTTGCCTTCATAAAAAAGGGATGCTTTAAGGAATTAAGTTCTATGTTGGATTGTTTTCTTACTAATTAACACACTTTTATTGCTCTTTCAAATATTTAGAGACAATCTAAGTTTCACTTAATGATACCATTGGACAAGAAGAGCCCCTTTCTTTTCAGATGACTGTCTATAGTTTAATTATAGCTCTGTCCTGTTAATTTCTGCTTCACATCTGCTACACCTGCAGACTACAATGCTCACAATGATGTATCTTTTTATCACATGCGGTAACACAATAATTCATATTTTACCACACCGACTTAGCAATTGAAACCAACCAATAATACAGAAGGGAATGTTTAAAGCAATAATAAACGGTATAAAAGGTACTGCAAACTCTTTGCTAAAATGCATAACACTATGTTCTGCTCATGATTTCTGTGTAATTAAACCATAACTCCCAAACAATCCATAATTACTACCCATAGACAAGGGGTTTAATAATGACCCAAAACAGAGAGAAACTAATGCTCTGGAAACTTTGAGCTATAGGAGTGACATATTTTTACCACATTTAAATTTTAAACAGTAGTCATTTTTATTGATGAACTACTGAGAAACACCTCTTTCTGAGACCCTGAAGAGGTTTTGCTAGTCAGGGGAGAAGGGTTAGATGGATGAGTAGTCTGACTCAGGATAGGACAAATTTATATCTTTATATTATTTTTGGTTTCTGTGTCAGAGAAGGAGAAAGTACTGGCAGACTTATAGCTTCTTAGCTGTCACTGTCAACCTGAGGAATAATCACTCCCAGTTACTTTCTTTCTTGTCATAGAACTTCTTCTGCTCCCTGGATAATGGGCAAACTGAAGGCAATAAAATGAGTTGGCCAACAGCTAGACCAGAGGTGGAGGAAGACTTGGGGCAAGTCCAACCAAAACAGATGACAGCACATCTAAATGCCTACTCTGTGGCAGTGATGTTGGCAAAGAGGTTTTCTTCATCACACTGCATCTGTGTATAGACATCCAGCTGAACTTTTCCAGATGGTGAGAGGGTTTCATCATTTGCCCCTTAATAATATAAACTTTGAAAATTCAGTGGCTCAGTGTTGCTTATTTGCAAGGCATTTTGTGGCTGAAATCCCCTGCATTCATGGTGACCGTGATTTATCGCAGCTCAGTCTCAGCAGTTTACTGGAGCAGAGTCTCATCACAGTTGCTGGGGTGACTTTCAGTTACCAGAGCCTGAGGATATGGACAAGCTGCTTGCAGAAGAGAGGCTTACCATTTCAGTTTTCAATCTTTACCCATTCTGGCTCTTGCGCTCCACCTTTAAAGAAAAGGTTCACAGCTGGAAGATTTATTAGATCCGCTTATGCAGATGGATGCCCAGACAACATCAGTAGTGTAATATTTTTCACCAGATTCAGCTACTTCACCAGCTTGTAACATCTGTAGTTTGGATATCCATCTGCCCCGGCAAGCCGTTCACGAAAGGAATCAAAGGGGGGGGGGGATTCAAACATGGAAGGGAATGGAATTGCTGAACAGAAGCTGCTTCTATATGGCCATATGTATTCGGGAAGCCGAATAGCTTCTGGGGAGCCCAAATAATGCCGTATAGGGATTACATGGGTTTTTTTTTTTGGGCTCAGCCAAACCGAATGCACATTCCTAGTCTGCACACCAAAGCTGTGCCAGTTGTTGTGCCTCATCTGTGGGACGCCTCATCTGTTCCTCCAGCCCTCCACCAAATCTGTTAACTTTCTGGTGTTAGGCCAAAGCTTTTTTTCTTCCAGGTGTTTAGGAGTTGTTAGTGTTTGGCCTCTTGCTCAGAGTGAAAGAGGAGAGCGCAAAAGTGGGCTTGAAGCTCAACATAAAAAAAACTAAGATCATGGCATCCGGCCCCATCACTCCTTGGCAAATAGAAGGGGAAGTCGTGGAAGTAGTGACAGACTTCACGTTCCTGGGATCCCAGATCACCGCAGACTGTGACAGCAACCATGAAATTAAAAGATGCCTGCTCCTTGGGAGGAAAGCGATGGCGAACCTAAACAGCATGATAAAAAAATAGAGACATCACCCTGCCAACAAAAGTCCACATGGTCAAGGCAATGGTATTCCCAGTAGTCATGTATGGCTGCGAGAGTTGGATTATAAGGAAGGCCGAGCGCCGAAGAATAGATTATTTTGAACTATGGTGCTGGAGAAGATTCTTGAGAGTCCCTTGGACTGCAAGAAGATCAAATCAGTCAATCCTAAAAGAAATCAACCCTGACTGTTCCCTGGAAGGCCAGATAATGAAACTGAAGCTCAAATGCTTTGGCCACCAAATGAGAAGGGAGCACTCACTGGAGAAGACCCTGATGCTGGGAAAGATTGAAGGTCAAAGAAGACGGGGATGGCAAAGGATGAGATGGTTAGACAGTGTCATAGATGCAACGAACATGAAGTTGAGGAAACGTCAGTGGATGGCGGAAGACCGGAAGGCCTGGCGGGATCTGGTCCATGGGGTCGCGAAGAGTCGGACTCGACTGTGCGACTGAACAACAACAAGTGTTTGGCATGGCCTATCAGGATTTTTATTTGGATTAGAATTTCAGATTTATATTAATTTGCTGTGCAGTCAGTTTTTTTTAGCCTTATGGCATTTAGGATCTGACAAGCAGGGACTTGCTGGGGTCACTTCATTTCCCTATATATCCCTTCCCCACAATATTTCCTCTTTCTCTTTGTGTTGTTTTCTCCCCAATGGAGACACAAAACAGGTTACATCATTATTTTCTCCATTTTATCTTCACAATAACCCTATAGACAGAGAGAGACAGTGATTGGCCTACAGTAATCCAACAAATTTGCACGGCAGACTGGGGTCTCCCAAATCCTACTCTAACACTCTAACCACTAAACCACACTGGTTTTTAGGTTTCCCTTCAAATTTGCAGCCTCTCCCTGGGAAAAGTTTGGTCAAGTTACAAAAGCTGTACAGTAGCAAGTTGATACAACGAGGATGTATATTGTCACCCTGCTTATTTAATTTATATGCATAGTACATCATGCGAAATGCCGGCCTGGATGAATTACAAGCCGGAGTTAAGATTGCTGGGAAAAACATCAACAACCTCAGATATGCAGATGATACCACTCTAATGACCTAAAGAGCCTCTTGCTAAGCTTGAGAGCGCAAAAGTTGGCTTGAAGCTCAACATAAAAAAAAAAAAACTAAGATCATGGCATCCAGCCTCATCACTCCTTGGCAAACAGAAGGGGAAGTCATGGAAGCACTGACAGACTTCATGTTCCTGGGATCCAAGATCACTGCAAACGGTGTGGTGGCAA